GACAGACAGGTAAGTGACAGACAGATAATTAACAGACAGGTAACTAACAGACAAGTAAGTGACAGACAGGTAAGTGACAGACAGGTAACTAACAGACAGGTAAGTGACAGACAGGTACCTAACAGACAGGTAAGTGACAGACAGGTAACTAACAGACAAGTAAGTGACAGACAGGTAAGTGACAGACAGGTAAGTGACAGACAGGTAAGTGACAGACAGGTAACTAACAGACAAGTAAGTGACAGACAGGTAAGTGACAGACAGGTAACTAACAGACAAGTAAGTGACAGACAGGTAATTAACAGACAGGTAACTAACAGACAGGTAAGTGACAGACAGGTAAGTGACAGACAGATAATTAACAGACAGGTAACTAACAGACAGGTAAGTGACAGACAGGTAATTAACAGACAGGTAACTAACAGACAAGTAAGTGACAGACAGGTAAGTGACAGACAGGTACCTAACAGACAGGTAAGTGACAGACAGGTACCTAACAGACAGGTAAGTGACAGACAGGTAACTAACAGACAGGTAAGTGACAGACAGGTACCTAACAGACAGGTAAGTGACAGACAGGTAAGTGAAAGACAGGTAAGTGACAGACAGGTAAGTGACAGACAGGTAACTAACAGACAAGTAAGTGACAGACAGGTAAGTGACAGACAGGTAACTAACAGACAGGTAAGTGACAGACAGGTAAGTGACAGACAGGTAACTAACAGACAGGTAAGTGACAGACAGGTAAGTGACAGACAGGTAAGTGACAGACAGGTACCTAACAGACAGGTAAGTGACAGACAGGTAAGTGACAGACAGGTAAGTGACAGACAGGTAAGTGACAGACAGGTAACTAACAGACAGATAAGTGACAGACAGGTAAGTGACAGACAGGTAACTAACAGACAGGTAAGTGACAGACAGGTAAGTGACAGACAGGTAACTAACAGACAGGTAAGTGACAGACAGGTAAGTGACAGACAGGTAACTAACAGACAGGTAGTTATGTGTCAGCAGGTTGTGAGGTGTTCAGCTCCTCCTCTCTTTATTAGAAAGGATTTCAACACTCTGGGACTTCAGGGACTCAGTTATGTGACACTGTGTGGAAACTACAGTTCATCACCTGTTAGGAAAATATTATTTTATTTAAAGTTGACCTCTTTGTTTATTTTTTAATTAATTTTTTTACAGACACATCAGAAGAGAATGAGGAACATCACAACTAATTTATTATTTACCATCGGAATGATTACTGGATTTTTGTCACTTCAAGGTTTTTTTAGCTCAGTGGTCCAGATGAACAAAATGAATTACTCAGTGAGAAGTGTACAGACTGGTGAGTAATCATTTATACACTTATTTAGTAAAATCAGAATTATTATAGACATCTCTTGATCTGATGGAGAAAACTAAGACGTTATAAGTTGTTACTAAAAAGCTAGAAGTTTTTTTAAATATTAAAAAAATTATTTAGGAACTAAACAACTGATTTAATTTTGGAATCCTGAAAGCTGTGAGTGTGACTCTGTTATTTAAAGAGAAACAACCTGAAATCTAAAGTTTTTGACATTCTACTTCTTATTTATCTGCTGAGTCAAGCAAGTGTGGCCAAAACAAACAAAAAACCCAGTTAACAACTCAAAAATGACCTGAGTAATCAGACCAGAATGTTCTATAAGGCTGTAGGAACTTGAATTGTTCACAGATAAATACAGTAAACAATAAGTTCAGGATGTTTCAGGTATAGTTGAGCAAAGTCAAAACTTTCCGTGCCAGGTTTGTGCCCCGGGGCTGTGGGTGTAAAACAAAAACCTTTATCTGACAATAAAACCTTTTGTTTGATACGTTGCATCAGTTTGGATTTTATATGAACTTTTTTCTTTTAGTATGCTATATTATTTATTTGGAATAAAACAATGATCTGCTTGTTGGTTTATTGGAACAGGTCCTAAAAGCAGGTTAAGTTTCACGCTATATAACTTTATGAAACTTCCTAATGTTGAGTAAACGTCAGCAGCAGGAAGTGTTCCTGTAAATGCAAATAAGTCACGGCTTTATTCAGGTTCTACTTGTTTGTTCAACATATAGCCTACCTAATTAAATAACTCCTGTTAAAAAAAAACGTCCATCATCTTCATGAATCATTTGGGTGACAAAACAGTTTGAGGTTTTGGTGGCAGATTTAGTGAAATAAACTGGTGACATAAAAATGTTTAGGTTGTTTATTGGTGGCCTTTAGACTTATTTTTTAGGTTTATTAATTTTTTTTTTCTGTTTTATTGTCCTGTGTTTTGGTTCCTCACTTTTTCCCTGGTGCCATCAGATCAGTAGTGTCAGTACTTTCCACCATTTGTCTCTGCTCTTTAGTTCTACTCTGCTCAG